TTGGCATTTACCAAGGCCCTCGCAAGGAGCTGGTGCCCAAGGTCTGGGTTCGAATTGTATTTAGGGTTTAGGGTTTAGGGTTTAGGGTTTAGGGTTTAGGGTTTAGGGTTTAGGGTTTAGGGTTTAGGGTTCAGGGTTTAGGGTTTAGGGTTTAGGGTCCCCCATGAGTCTCCGTAGCCCTCTGCAACAGAGCTAGATCCTCAAAGGTGGGCCCTGTAACCGGCTATGAACACACAACCTGAAACTACAGGAACTATGATACAACATGTATTGACAAAATATGAAGGGTTTCCATCGCTGGCTTTCTCTCTTCCTCTCTCTTCTTTGTCGTCATCCTCTTTTTGTTTTTCTTCGTTGTTTCTCTCTCTCTCTCTCTCTCTCGTTCTTTTCGTCTTTCGTGCAATTGAGGCATTTCTTCTTCCTCCAGTTGCTCTTCAAGTGGTTCTTCTACTGACTGTTTACGAATCATCTTTTCTTGCATATGCCTCTCCATGGCTTGACAGGGGACCTGACGCGCTCGAGGCGCTCCAGGGTCGGCGCGGAACTCGTAGTTTATAGGGTTTAGGGTATAGGGTTTAGTAGGGTTGAGGATTGAGGGTTGAGGGTTTAGGGTTTATTGAAACTATTAAGGGTTCAGGTCCGGGGAAGTTTCGAGGAAAGTTTCGAGGAGTTTCAATTAGTTTCCTTTTTTAGATTTTTCTTCAAGTTACAGGGGGCTTGAGGGTTTAGGGTTTAGGCTTATTTAGGGCTTAGGGTTAGGGTCATGGTAGTTGCTGCAGCCCCCTACCCTCTGTTCTCCAGGACGCACCACTGTGCGACACGACGTTCTGCGGGTAAGTTCACTGTGTGATGGCCTTGGCCACTTCTCTGTTCCTGTCGCTCTTTCTCTTTTCTTTTTTTCTCTCTCTCTCTCTCTCTCTCTCTCTCTCTCTCTCTCCCTCTGCTTCCCACTCTTCCTCTTTCCCCCTCTGTTGCCTGCCTTTCTGTCCGTCGCTGCAGACTTGTTAGTGTTGCCTCGCAACCTGTTTGCCCTATCATCCCGCGCCAGGAGCCAGAAGCCCTGCACCCGAACAACCCTAAACCTCAACCCTCTCGAAACAGTCCACCCACGGACGCCTTCGCGCGATACGCACTGACCAGGCCAGGAACACTTCCCACCGCCTGCAAGAGTGTGCGCTCGGGTTTGGGTTTATGTCTTCTTAGGTTCTAAGGGGTCACGGGTTGAGGGCGTTCTAGCTGATTTAGGTTGCTGGGTGATCTGGTGCCGGTTCCGGAAAAGCGATTGTAGTATTTGCGTCCGAGATGCCAAGGGTCTAGAAGTGAAGGGTCCAAGAGGTCTATAGGGTTTAGGGTTTAGGGTTTAGGGTTTAGGGTTTAGGGTTTTGGAGACTTGTGTCCTTAGCCGGGGTGGGGGAGGGGGGTGAGGGTTGAGGGGTCAGGGCTTAAGATTTAGGCTGTTAGCTTCTCCACTTGCTATATGCGTACATGTCGGAAGAGCCCTGCCAAACAAGCAAGCACGTCTGAGCTAAGCCCCTATGTGAAAGGGAAGCCCCTTGGAATTTAAGGTTCCATCATAACGTAGGGGCCCTCATTAAACCGCTGGGCGACTTGCCTTCATAATGGAACAGAACACGCTTCGTGAGCGTGCAGGCTTTTATAAAAGGTAAATTTTGGGATGTTCCCCCCTATACTAACAGTCCTTAATAGGGACTCTAGTAACCCCCTATTATAATTCCTACTAAGGACTGTTGTTAGTATAAGGGGGAACATCCCAACGCAAATTCAACAAACCCAGTCCAAACCAAAACCCTGAACCGTAAACGCCGTAAACGGACATAAGCCCACAAACAAACCAAACGCCAAGTCTTGAACCCTTGTTGTTGCAAGTTGCCATTTGCCTAAATAGGTTTGGTATACACCGTCACCCTAAACCCTAAGCCCTGAACCCTAAACCCTAAACCCTAAACCCCAAACTCTGCGCCTCCAACTCCTCTCGCCATAGGCCTGCTACTTTCACGGAGTAGCAGGACTTTAAATCTGCATGCTACGAACTGCTTAAGAACCTCCCCTCCCCATCCCCCCCCAAAAAAAATAAAACAAAAAAAAACATATATATATATATATATATATAATATTCTTCCTTATAAAGGAAATAGAAGGACTTTTAATTTTCATTTTGGGGGGGGGGGGGTCTTTAAGCAAATAGTAGCATGGGGTTTTGGGTTCAGGAGTCAGGAGTCGGGGATTTCGGGGATTTAGGATTTTGGGGCTTGGGGTTTAGGGCTTCGGGATTTCGAAATTTGGGGTTAAGGGATACATTGGGGTTTGGGGATTTAGGATTGTGGGAGTTGGACCCTAGGGCGTTGGGCTGTACGGACCTTCCCCTAACGATTCTTCTAGCCTGTGCTCGAAATCCTCTCCTGCGAACTTCGCCTCAACACCCTGTCACCTCCCCAAACCCTGAGAGCCATTGAAAGCCAGACGCCACGGCCTATCTGCAAGACATGCCTGCGTTGAAAGACCTGTGAGGGATGATGACCTCCATCCCCTAATATCCCCCGCCCCCCGACCTGACCCCCAGTGTCATACATTCACGTTATCCTTTATGGCTTTATCACAGAGGGGGGGGGGGGGGAGGAAAGGCCAGGGTCTTGTGGGTTGTGGAAGAATGCCTTGGCAGGGGCAGGCCGGCGCATCTCTGTTGTTTCGGCTGTGCTCTGGATGCTGGGCGGAATCTTAAATCTTTTTCAAAAGTAAGGGCAGGACTGCATGCAGCAATGTTCAGGCCACCTCCCACCGTCCACCCCCGTCCTGCAACCCGAAAATCCCAACCCGATGGCTTTCAGCCTGGGTTTGTTCTGACGAGGGAGCACGGTGGCGTCGGTGCCATGGAGATCTTCGGGGTTTAGGTTTCGTGCTTGAAGGTTTCGTGCTTTCGGCCTTTGGGCGATCGTCTGGGGGTTCTACCTTGGACCCTGAAGGTTGTACCCTTAAGTTTTGGAAACCCTTCTTTAAAAATCGCTAGGGGAAGATAAGGGCCATCTTCGCAGTATAACAAGGGGAAACTGTGGGGGTACAAGCTTAGGGGTTCGAGTCTTCATCCCTTGAGATCTAGCCCTAAACCCTAAACCCTAAACCCTAAGTCTCGTTTAGCTATGCCGAAAGATCTCTTGCCTTCACGACCTTGTCTTTGTTGGCCCGCCAGGAAACCAGCCAATGATACAACGTCTGCGAGTAGTGATAGCCTGGCTCGTACGAGGCATTCCATGGCCAGGGAAGACAACCTTTAGGGTTTTCAGGGTTTATGGTCTGGGGTTCAGGGTTTAGGGTTAACCCTGAACTCCCAATCTTCTGGTTTGAAAGTTTGGGGGGGCTTTGATCTACAGTGCAGCTTCTCTGAAACACTCTCAAGGATACGGAGCTCCTGCCTAGGCTGTCGGGTGTAGGGATGCTTCCTTACTCGTTCTTAAGAGGGAATTCATCAGCGAATTAAGTAGGGTTGAGGCGTTTAGGGTTTATGGGTTTAGGGGTTTAGGGGTTTAGGGGTTTAGGGAAAGGGCTGAAGTTGAACCCTGAAGCACAGTACATGACACCTCAGAAACCCTTCAAGTCGAGCCCTGTACCGGCAGGCCTCCTTTCAAGGGAAGTGAGACGGGCCGTAAGAGCTTGAGGGCTTAGGCTTTCGGATGCAGTCGACCGTTCAAAACCCGGAAAAGGCTTAACGAGACCAACTCTGGGTTCAACGCACAGCCCTATGTCCCAAACCCGGAACCCCAAATCTCCCCCAAAACCCGGTTTAGGGCTTAGGGTTTGGTGTCTAGGGTTCGGGGTTTAAAACCGACATCCGAAATCAACCCTAAGCCCTGAGTCCTGAAACTGACGGAGGGGGGGGGGGGGGACCTATGCAAGATGCAACTCTCTGGGCTATCTAGAAATATGCTGTCGGGGTTTGCGATTCAATGGAAGTGTCTAGGGAGCCGGGTTTAGAGTTATGTAGACAAGCTTGAAGACGAGGGTCCGTAGTTTGTCAAAAGCAATCCCAGCTTGTAGCGATTGTAAAATGGTAGGGACCTGCATTGAGGGAGGAGCGCACTTTGAGATTTACTTCCTCTGGCAACTGCCGCTGTAGACCCGAAACCCGGACTCCAAACCCTCAACGCAGCCGAGAGACCCATGTTGTGGACATTTTGCACCTGACACAGGGCTTCGATCCCCTAAACCCTAAACCCTAAAACTCCCATGCTCCCAAGGTTTTGGGTTTTAGGGCCCACAGCGCCTAAACCCGAAACAGCACAAAGCCACCTTTCGAGTGCCGCAACAAACCCTAAGTTTCGCAAGCCTCTAACCCTACTATTTGCTTAAGAACCCCAAAAGAATAGAAAACAATAATCCCTGTATTACCCTTAATCAGGAAGAATATTTTGATTCTTTCGGGGTTCTTAAGCAATTAGCAGACCCCCAGAGTCCCTTAATCCGCAAAAGCCCTAAATCCTGGCCCCTAACTCTTGATCCCGAAGTTTTAAACCTTAATCCTCCCAAAGCCGTCCTAAGCCCTTAGCCCAAAGCCCAAAGCCCTAAGCCCCAAGCCCCAAGCCCCAAGCCCCAAGCCCTAAGCCCTGAGCCCTAAGCCCCAAAAGCCCAAAGCCACTAAGCCCTAAGCCCTAAGAACCTAAGCCCTAAGCCCTCATCCCAAAACCCGAAATTGTTCCGGCCTCGAAGCCCGCTTGCTCCAAGTGTGTCAAAACCTCAGGAGCAGAAGCTTTTTTTCTGCTTAAGGTTTAGGGTTTAGGGTTTAGGGTCTAGGGTTTAGGGTATAGGGTTTAGGGTTTAGAGTTTAGGGCTGAGGGTTGCCGCAAAAAAAGGAACAAGGGCACGACGGAGCGACTTTTGAAGGCCTGCGGTGCTCTGGCAGTCTTTTGGGGTGTAGGGTTTAGGGTTTAGGGTTTTTAGGGTTTAGGGTTTAGGGACTTGGGGTGCTTTTTGTTTTCGTTTAGGCGTCATCAGATCAGGTCTTCTTTTCCATAGTGTGCCTTCTGGGTCATATAAGTGGGGATATGAGTATCTTAAGCCAGGTCATAAAGCCGGTTGCCTTACTTGTACTCTACTTAGAACTCCCATCAACACCCCCCTAAACCCTAAACCCTAAACCCTAAACCCTAAACCTTAAACCCTAAACCCTAAATCCTAAACCCTTTGGGATGCCTTCTGGGCTTTCAGAGGAGTCCTCCGAGATCCCTCCAAGCGCCCGCGCCCAGCCCATGGGGCAGGAGGCGTCGGCACCAGGGAAGACGTGCTCATCCATGAACAGCCCCCACACCTTCAGAGAGTTTAGGGTTTAGGGTTTAGGGTTCAGGGTTTGGGGTTTAGGGTTTAGGGTTTAGGGTTTAGGGTTTAGGGTTTAGGGTTTAGGGTTTAGGGTTTAGGGTTTAGGGTTTAGGGTTTAGGCTTCAGGGCTTGGCTTTAGGGTTCAGGGCTTGGGCTTTCGGGCCCAGGGTTCAAGGGCTTAAGATTCTGTTTCAAGCCGAAGTCTGTAACGTTAAACCCAGAACCCTAGACGGACTTACCCGCAACGCAGACCGATTCCGGGGAAGGTTCGACCACTGCAAAAACATCGTCACACGATTCGTGCCTGGGATATCCTGACTTAAGGCTTAGGGTTCAAGGCTTCTGGCAGCTTATGGAGGGTCCTAAGCCCGTCACCTGATCCATCAACCCCCTGGTCCCTCAACCCCCTAAACCCTGAGCCCTAAGCCCTAAACCCTAGACGCAAACCCTAAACCCTAAACCCCCCTGATCCCTCAACCCCCGCACACCGCGAGGGATCCCATGGCTCTGAGGCAGCTGCCAAGTCCTCGTAGTGATTGTAACCTCGGAAGCTACTTGGAGGTTCAGGGTTCGGGGTTCAGGGTTCAGGGTTCAAGGTTCAGAGCTCAGGGTTCAGGGTTCAGGGTTTAGGGTTCAGGGTTTACGGTTTAGGGTTTAGGGGTACATATTAACCAATTATAAGTGTACCTATAACCCACTTATAAGCCCCTGAAGTGCCCTAATCTGGTTACAAGTACAGCCAAAAATGGTTGGTAAGTACCATGAACCTCGGAAGCTAGGCTTCCCAGGGCACCAGGGCTTCAGGTTGAGGCTTACGATTTTGGGGGTTTAGGGTTTAGGGTTTAGGGTTTAGGGTTTAGGGTTTAGGGTTTAGGGTTTAGGGTTTAGGGTTTAGGGTTTAGGGTGTAGGGTTTAGGGTTTAGGGTTTAGGGTTTAGGGTTTAGGGTTTAGGGTTTAGGGTTTAGGGTTTAGGGTTTAAGATTTTGGGGTTTCAGGGTTTTGGGGTTTTCGGGTTAGAGGCTAGCGATTTTGGGGGTTGAGGGTTTGAGGATTTGGGGTTTTGGGGTTTTGGGCTTTGTTGTGGGTTTATGAGGGCTTTCGGGTTTTAGGGGTTGAGGGTTTTGGGGTTTTGGGGTTTTAGGGTTCTCGGGTTTTTGGGGTTCTCGGGTTTTTGGGGTTTTAGGGGTTTTAGGGTTTTAGGGTTTTAGGGTTGTAGGGTTTTAGGGTTTTAGGGCTGTAGAGTTTTAGGGCTTTAGGGCTTTAGGGTTTTAGGGCTTTGGGGTTTTAGGGTTTTAGGGTTTATGGAGCTCAGTGAGGGATCTGTGGTTTCGGGGTGCAGGTCGCGAGGATGAAGGTCCGGCAAGGGACCAGGTCGCAACCAAGCGAGTCACTTGGGCTTTCTAGGAAGGCCCTTAAAACCCCCTCTGAAACCCAATAAGGGGCAATATACATCCCAAGGCCTACCTAGTCTTGTGGTTCTGAACACCCGTGCTTACTGAGTGCTCTTTGATCACAACATGGGCGATTGCAGCAGTATTCACGGCTATGTTGCGCTAGCATGTCGTAACTACAAATTGCTGAAGAGCCCCCCCCCCCCCCCCAAAAAAAAAAAAAAAAAAAAAAATCTTCCTTATAAGGGTAACATAGGGAGTATTATCTTTTTTTTTGGGGGGGGTTCTTATGCAAATAGTAGGTAAAGCTGCCTCCGCCTCCATCTGCCAAGGCCTTTAAGGGCCTTAGGGACCCCGGCTGCGCAACTTACGTGTTGACTGTTAATTCCGGGCATCGGTTCTTGCGGCTTCGCGCGCTTTGAATGAACATGGTTGCAAACCACTCCGCAACAAATCGTGTAACAAAAGCACCGCCAATTTGTAAAACGCAGTGACATACAGAGCCAGAGCCAGGCTTTTTCTGACAAAGTCTGAGGGCATATAGGATGGCATCAAAAGTTGCTGTACAGTGTCGCAACCCCTTTCCCCCCACCCTAAACCCTACACCCTAAACCCCAAACCCTAAACCCTAAACCCTACCAAAAACCAGAAAACAAAAAAAGAAGAGGCCAGGAATCCAGGCCGGTTGCATAGCCTCGGGGCAAGCCGGCGACCTGCCCAGGGCGGGTCCACTCCCTTCGACATTGGACATCCAAGGAGTTATTTGGGGGTTTCGGGTTTGGGGCTTGTAGGCTTTAGGGGTTTAGGGGTTTAGGGGTTCAGGGGTGTAGGGGTGTAGGGGTGTAGGGGTGTAGGGGTTGGGGTTTAGGTGTTTAGGGGTCTAGGGCTCAGGGTTTACTTTCCTGCTAGGTTTTCGCTCCAGCCAAAAGCCCTGACCCCCAAGCTGGTGGGTCGGCGCAGGAATCGCCGGCCTGGAGATAGAAGGTGCCATCATCCGCCAAGAGGCTGTGCACCTGTGGCAAGGATTCAGGTTTTAAGGGTTTTCGGGGGCCCCCGAATTTCGAGCAACCTCCTTAGCCCGAGGCCCTGAGCCCTAAACTCTGCACCCTCAACCTGACTCTGGAGGTTCCCGGGGTGCTGTGAGTTTGTGGGTAGATCCACTCATTAAGTATAGGTATAGTGATTATGTGTTGGGGGCCAGGTTGGGGGAGGTTCTCTAAGGTTCTTTTGTGTTTTCCTAAGCCCGAGTCGTTTGTCCAGGGCTGCTGGGACCCCAGTTTGCCATCAGTGCGGGTGTCAATTGCATTCGGAGGGAGTAATATTTGCAGCCAACAGAAATAGCAATCGTAAGAGCCATATTGTTCTCTAGAGTGGGGTCCCTGTTTGGGGTCCTCCTGAACATAGCACGGCACCCAGAAAAAGGACCCAACAAAAAGGACCCCTAATTTAGAGGACCACCCATATTGCCATATGGGGGGTTTCCGGAAATAGGGGTACCTTTTCTTTTTTTTTTTTTTTTTTTTTTTTGGGGGGGGGGGGGGGGGGGGGGGTCCCTTTAAGGGTACGAAAGGGGTACCCCTATTTTGGGAAATAATCATCGAATGGCAGCTTCGGGCTCCAATGCCCTTTCTAGGGTCCCTCATGAAACCCAAGGGCCCATAGGTACTTCAGAACCCTTTAATTTCTCGGGACCCTAAACCTTATTCACCTATATAAATCCTATAATATATATATATATATATATATTATATAATATATAATACATATATATTATATAATATATATAATATTTATATATATATATATATTCCTTCTAATCCCTGGTATACCTAAGTAGCCCCCCAAAGAAGCAAGCCCTCTGACCACTAAAGCGCACTCCGGCCTTCTTGAGGAACTTGTTGTAGTTCCTGGCGTAGGCTCGTTCCGGGTCAGGGCATCTTAGGGCTTTCTTGTTAAGACAGCGTATTCAGGCTTTTAGGGTTTAGGCTGTAGGAGGGCACGCAGTGTAGGGTTTCGATCCTGCATCCTAAGCCCCCCACCTCGAAGCCACATCACCCTGTACCCTTGCGCGACCCTTTTAAGGGTCTGAGGGCTCTCAAGACTTAGGCTCGCGAGGCCTGATGCCCACGTGCTCGGCCATCTCCACGGAAGAGATGACCTTGAAGGACTTGTCCTGCCAACAGTCTAGGAGTTTTTCGAGCGGGCGGGGGGGGGGGGAGCGGGGGGTGGGGGGCGGTGGATATCAGGAGGCGGTAGGTGACGGTAGGTGACACTGCACGAACCCAAACGTTAAACGGCCTAAGCCCTAGCTTAGTTAAAAAGGCCCTCAGCCCCAAAACCCTGAACTCGAAAGCCTCAAACCCTAAACCCTGAACCCCACAAAACCCCCCCAAAACCCCCAAAATCCCCCAAAAGCCCCCAAACACCCCAAAACCCCCCAAAACCCCCCAAAACCCCCAAAACCCCCCCAAAACCCCCCAAAAACCCCCCAAAAACCCCCAAACCCCCCAACCCCCCCCAACCCCCCCCCCCCCAAAGGAAAACCCAAAGGAAAACCCAAAACCCCAAAACCCCAAAACCCCAAAACCCCCCAAAACCCCCCAAAACCCCTAAAGCTCCGGAAGCTGAAGGTCGAAGAAGTTCGTGAGGAGGATCTCCACGTTGTCGTCTCGGAGGCGCTATCGCTGCAGCCCCAAAACCCTGAAGAAGTTTTTGTGGCTATATGTCCTAAACCCTACAAAGCCCTTAACTCCCCCTAAACCCTACACCCTAAAACCCCAAACCTGAACCCCAAACCCTAAACACCATCATCCCCTAAAAACTCCTGAGCTCTGCATTCCCTCAAGCCCCCAATTCCGGATACTCCCTCGACCCGAAACTCTCTGAACGCCGCAAACCCTCAGCAATTTAGGGTTTAGGGTGAAGGGTAAGGCTTATATTAAACTTCTAAAGCCTAAAGACCCCCAAAGCCCAGTAGAAAGAAGCCAGGCCGCTGTTTTTCAAGGAAGCGCCTTGGTCCACAGGAGGTGGAGTCGTGCGTTGCTCTTATTGCTACTACTATTTTCTTGCTACTATGAGGGCAATACTGCTATTATGCTACTACGACTATGGTACCAATATGGGGTTTACGATATGAGGGGTACCTTCTTGGGTCCGTCTTGTAACGGAATCTTATTATTTGGGGGGGGGGGGTTGGGGGGGGGGGTTTTGGGGGGGGGGGGGGGTTTGGGGGGGGGGGTTTGGTTTGGGGGGGGGGGTTGGGGGGGGGGTTTGGGGGGGGGTTTGGGGGGGGGTTTGGGGGGGGGGGTTTGGGGGGGGGGGGGTTTGGGGGGGGGGGGGTTTGGGGGGGGGGGGGGGGGGGGGGGGTTTGGGTGGGGTTTGGGTGGGGTTTGGGTTGGGGGGGGGGGGTGGGGGGGGGGGGTTTACGGTTAGGGTTTTGGGTGTAGGGTGTAGGGTTTAGGGTTTCGGTTTAGGGCTTGGGGCTTAGGGCTTAAGGCTTGAATGGGTCAGGGTCCAGAGCTCAGAGCTCAGGGATCCTGGGGCGGTACTGGCTCTCAGTCCCAGGAATGGAACCCTAAACCCTACAACCCCCCCCCCCCCCCCCCCCAAAAAAAAAAAAACAAAAACAAAAACAGGATGAAAAGACACCCCTCCGCCTGCAACCTGTAAAGCAAGTCTAATTGGACTCTGCTTGCTTGAGATGGCTAGGCCATGTCGAAACCCTCAAACCTGAACACTAAGCCCTTGTACGTCTAGGGTTCCCATTGAAAACCCTCCGCCTGCAAGCGCCCCTACTACAGGAATACAGGTGACTCCAGGCACATCCCCCGACGCCCTGAATCTTCGACATCCTGCAATCGATCTACCTATCATGCATGTTCTTACGTACTACGAGTAGCGTGTCTATTTATTCAAGTCATTCATGCGTGTGTCGAAACTCTACACTTTAAGCATGCTGTTTCCGACATTAAGGGTACCTTCTTGCGGTCCGTATTCAAAAGGAATCCTACGATTTGGGGGTCTATATTCAGGATCCCTTTTATTTTCGGAAACCCCCAAATAGCAAGGTGTACATGAACATGCCTGAAAATTGGCCCGAGCAACTCATTCGCTTTGCGTAGGCCTGCTGGTCCGACGACATGGTCACGCCTGAAAGAAGTGCTCCGGGGCTTCGTGGCGTAGGGTTTAGGGTTTAGGGTTTAGGGTTTAGGGGTTAGGGGTTAGGGGTTAGGGGTTAGGGTTTAGGGTTTAGGGTTTAGGGTTTAGGGCTTAGGGCTTAGGGTTTAGGGTTTAGGGTTTAGGGTTTAGGGTTTAGGGTTGAGGGCGGAGGGTTGAGGGTGTAGGGTTTAGGCTGGAGGTTGGAGCTTGGGGTGGTTTAAGGGGTTACAGGGTTTATAATAGGTTGACGATGGTTGATTAGACCGGGCTTTTAGCTCTAATTCTGCTTTTCCCAGCTACAAAGGAGCCCACAATTCAGGTTTAGGGTTCAGGGTTCAGGGTTTAGCGCTTAGAGCCCAGCCATACCGTATACTCCCCTTAGGATCAGAATCAGAAGAACCTATTCCCTACTCCCGTGAGCTTTATAGTCTAAGAAATATTCAACACATGGGAAAGTCCTTCCTTGTATTCTTCCTTTATAGGTCAAGAGGTGCGGGTTTGGGGTATGTTGTATTATGCTTAGATATAGGGTAAATCCTAGAAAGACTGCAGACCCGATCCAGCCCAATAGGCCTAAGCTATCTCCAAAACCTCTAAGGCCAAGCGAAACCCCAAAACAGCTTACAGAAACCCCAGCAACCCCCTCCATCCAACCCTAAACCCTAAACCCTAAGCCCTAAACCCTAAACCCTGAATCCTAAACTCTAAACCCTAAACCCTAAACCCTAAACCCAAACCCTAAACCCCAGGGCGCCTGTGACCTTGGCGCCCTTGCCGGCCAAGTAGTTCGAGAGGCGGCCCCAGCCACAGCCGATCTCCAGGGCCTTCGGCACAGGGGGGGGGGGGGTTCAGAGTTTAGGGTTTAGGGTTTAAGATTTAGATTTTAGGCCGTAAGTTTAGGAGCTCCGAGTTTGGCAGGATCTCATGGTAGGTTTCGGCGTCTGGGCTTATAGGCATATAGGGTTGACAGAGTAACCCGGGATGTTTGGGTGTGCAGGGGTTTGGCATTGCCGGTTTCGGGCTTGAGGATCTACGGGTTCAAGTACGACCGGCTGTGTTTTCTGAGCTTGGCAGGCCCTAAACCCTAAACCCTAAACCCTAAACTCTAAACCCTAAACCTTAAACCCAAAACTCCGAAGTTGGTGCGGGCGGGCCTTGTCGCCCGGCTGCACGCCCAGGGCGTGCGCGATGAACTCAAGCCTCAGTCTTGAGCGAGTTCTTGGGGCATCTTGTGTCGCGTGTCAGACCCACATGTAGTCAGGCTTACCGCACGGTCGGCCAAAATGGATTATCGTCATTGCGGTAAGTCCCTGTTTGGGTGGTGTCGATATCCGAGGGAGACTACATTTGGTCTCTATATAGCCATACGATAATGGCGCCCAAAACCTATTCTAATGATGAAGGACCCTATACTATGAACCTTATAAGCCTGAAAACCAGAGCCCTGCCAACTGCGGCAAGCTTCTTCTTGTGCTGCGCGGACCACATCGTCTCATTACCTGGAGAACTGTCCGGTGCTTTGGAGGGGTTTTTGGGGGTCGTCTCTACATACTAAACTCCGGTCCGGCCAAAAGAAGGGAAGTTCCAAGCAAGAAATAGAACCTATACCCTAGCCCCAGCCCTTATCAACAACCGCCCAACGCCCAAATTCAGTACGAAACAAGGCAGACGCATGCGTTTTGACACTTTGGGCGAGAAGGTCAAGACTTGAGGCAGTTGTTAGCAGCCCCGACCCTTTAATACCCTGTGAAACACTTTTCCTGAACATGATCCTCTTAACTCCAATAAGGGAAAAGTATAGCATGTCGCAAGGGCCTACTGTAGCTAGTGGCGCCTTTATGTTTGATGGCGCTAGAAGGGAGCCAAGCAACTGGGCCTTGAACCCTATACATACGCCCAAACCCAAAAGCTCCGAAGGCTGTAGGGCCTAGGGTTTGGGGTTTATAAACCCCAAGCCCTGAAGCCCAAACCCCCAAATTCGAAAGCTCAACTCACCGGGCGCCTGTGTAGATCGCCCCGGTGTAGACCATAGGCTCGCCAAGCGTGGCCTCGAACCAGTCATCTCCCTTGTTGTAGGCCTGGAAAGATAGGGCCTGGGGTTTAGGGCTTCCAGGGTTTAGGGCTTTTCGGGCTTAGGGCCTTGGGCATAGGGCTTGGGACTGCAGAGGGCTCGGTGAGGCCCAAGCGGGTGGATAAATATGAGGAGGAAGCCGTCCCTGGATCCATAGAGGTATTCCCCTATTGTCCAGGCCAAAAAGCACCCTCCAAAACCTAAGACCAACATCTGCGTGGACCTAGATGATGGCCCTTGAAGTACTCTCCAGCTACAAAAAGTACACCTCAAAAAGAGATCCTGACAAAGTACCCTGAACTTAAGCCAGCAGCCACATTATGATGAGGGTGCCTCGAGGCTATTGGCTACTGGGCTTTGGGATCCGCATGGGGGCTCTCGGCCGAGGTTTTTTAAGGTTGCGGGTTTAGGGTTTAGGGTTTAGGGTTTAGGGTTTAGGGGGTTTAGGGTCCTCAAAGCCAACCAGGCAAACCTAAAGCCGGAAACCGCTGCAAGGTTCCCCCTGCACACTGCCCCTCCATACTTCAAGGTTCGAGGACAGCTTAGTTATTTAGGGCTTAGGGCTATGTGTTTGGGGGGGTTTGGGGGGTTTGGGGGTCAGGGATTCGGGAAGTATGGTTGCATGTACCACTTACTGTTGCCCTACTTAGAAGTACCCCTGAGACCTTCCAGTCAAGAGGGTTTCCTGGAACCTGTAACCTGATGACCTTAAACCCGAAACTCTAAACCCGAAATCCTTGAAGGCTTCAGGGTTCCCCCTCTCAGACTTGGGGGTTTAGGGTCCTGAGCCCTCGAAAAACATTGGGCTTTGGGTTTAGGATTTAGGGTTGCAGGGTGTCCTAAACCCTAAACCCTAGGACTTAGAGCCTCTAGCCCTAAGCCCTAAGCGGCCTCAGGGAGGTAGTCAGCGTCCTGGTCCGTGTCGTGGAAGACCTTAGCCAGCCGACCACCAAATTTCCCCATCGTTTCATAGCCCTAAACCCTAAACCCTAAACCCACGAGGGGCCCAGGAGAGGACTTCGAGTTCCAGTTTTGGGGGAGCTTCTCCCTCCCCCCCGGCCCAAACCCTGCCCTCAACCATTTCCTGATACCGAAAATTCGCCCCCAAACTCCCCGAACCCCATAGCCCAAAAATCCCGTGTCGAACAACTCCGTAGCCCCAGGAACAGAAAAAAAGACCCTAAACCCTAAACCCTAAACCCTAATGTTGAGCCGGCGGGCGCTCTTGCCCAGCCAGGTGCGAAGGTAGCGTTGGAGCTCTGTCTTCCCGAAGACAGGGGGATACTTGTGACCTGGTCGGATTTGGGGTTTAGGGTTTGGGGTTTAGGGTTTAGGGTTTAGGGTTTAGGGCTATCAGACCTGGCGGATTTTGGGCTTCATATGGGGGGTGTACAAGCAAAAGACGGGGGGGGGGGGGACTCCCCAAAATAGACCCCCCAAATAGTAGGATTCCCTGGAAACAAGGACCCAACAAGGTACCACAAAATTTGGAAACCCCCAGATAGGGGCCTTCATGATAATTGGCATACGGTTTCGGGGGGTCTTTATCGTCGAACTATCTATATATATATATACATATATATATAGAAGGACCACAAGGGAGTACTATCAAAGGAATAATTCCAACCTCTACATTAGGCTGCCTATACCCCAAACCGTAAACCCGGCTTTGTAGCTTCCACCTTTCGGCTAGGTTGGCTCCTGCGACACTCTGAAAAATATTCCTAAATATCCTCCTCTTAAACCCAATAAAAGAAAATATGAAATGTCCCAAGGGCCAACCTAGTCAGAATCCGGGGCTTTGGGGATTAGGAGGCTGAGGACTTGTGAGGGTTCCGCGGACTTTGTTAGGAGTCGGAGCCGCGTGGGCGTCTCGCATATGGTCTCCCGGTCTCCCATTCTAAGGGGTTTGGGGTTTAGGGTTTAGGGCTTAGCGCTTGGGGCTTAGGGTTTTGAAGCTTCGCGTGCCTCTCCTACGCAACCAGGCTCGAAGTGCAAAAAAAGACGGCCTTCCAAGATTTCATGCAGGTCTCCCTTGCCGGTGGAGATGTAGTCCTGCTCAACACGAGTCTTAGGTGCTGAGTTCCCTAGGGGAAAAAAGGTTAGCCTTTGGGTTTTAAGGGGCTCTATACTACCCCGAAAGGTTGAAGGTTACCCACCCAGTGCCTAACGAGTTGAACTGAAGCTTCCATCCCATGCTCTTTCTGATTTCACGGGGGGCTTAAGGCTTAGGGGTTTTAGGCTTGACATGCTACATTCAGCTCATGAATTTGCCTGGGCAACCGGTCTCCTCAAGAATAGCAAATTTGCCCAACGAATCGGGCAAGTTCCCCTTTGGAGGGCGCCCTAGGCGACTGTAGGTACGGCCCGCCCCAGTACACTGACAAACCCAGTGATGTAGCTTCTCTGCGGTCACAGGCGTGACACAATACCCTGAACCCTGAACCCTTGAAGCCTAACCCCTAAACCCTGAACCCTAAACCGTAGACCCCGAACCCTAAACCCTAAACCATGAACCCGACAGCCCCTGGCCCTGTCCTCCAGCGCTTCCCTCAGCGAGGGCTGGTTCATGTCGTACCCCTCGGCCTGCAAGCGGAGGGCTGTGGCTTGTTTAAGGGTTTAGGGTTTCGGGTTTAGTGATCCCTCACACAAAAATAAAGATATATACACATATATATATATATATACATATGTACATTTTTTTACATACAATACACTGGGGGGAATCAGGATGTTTTTTTTGGGAGGCGGTTGGATTTCAGGGCTCAGGGCTTGAACCCTAGAGCCCACAACTCTGTGAACCTTTTCAACCCCATCTGTACAACTTGCGGGGTTCAATTTTTTTGAAGGCTCTTCGTTTTAAAGGGTGGGCCGCCTGCTAGACTCGCCCAAGAGGATCGAAATCGATGAAAACAAAATCCTGCGCCCTAAGCCAAAACCAAAACAACCACCGAGATGGGCGCCTCCGCATCCCATCGCGATTCCATCACGGCAAACGCGCACAGGAACAAGAACCTGGTGGCACGTCAGCCGTCTCATGACTGCTTTGGGTCATATGGTTATAGTTGTTTCCCAGAATAGGGGTAGTGCCGCAAAAAACACTCCACTCATAATTTTAGGGTACTGAGCCCCAAGCTCGGAAAACCCACTCAATTTGGAACACATAGGGGGCCAACTCAGTCTCTAGTTGTAATGATAGAAGGATTTATTGCGGGGATGACATTGTAACGTACTTAGGCTCCTAGTCTCGGGAGAGTAAAGAGTAGGTTGCGGATCGTTCTGCTAGTGAAGGCGCAGGGAACGGGTTCGGAAGAGTCTGGGTTTCGCCTGTTTCTCCTTACCAAACTGCAGCCCTAAACCCTAAACCGTAAACCCTAAACCCTAAACCCTAAACCCTAAACCCAAAACCCAAAACCCTAAACCCTAAACCCTAAACCCTAAACCCTAAACCCTGCACCACCCTAAATACGGGAACCTGTGCTGAGCTCCATTAAGAGTTACAAGGGTCGAGCGGCTGCCTGGGGCTTGGAGCCTTAGGGTTTGGGGTTTAGGGTTTAGGGTTCAGGGTTTAGGGTTTAGGGGTCTGAAGAGTGCGGCGTCTGGGCTTGAACATACAAGTGTTTGGGCGAGGGAATAGGCTTGAGGGTTTTAGGGTTGAGTTTTTCTGTTACAGCCCCAAAGCCTGATTTCTCAGCCCTGGAAACCCGGAACCCTAAATATCTCAACCCTACTGTTTGCGGCGGGATACAGCATATCTACGCCCTTACCCTGAGCATAACTTATAAACCCTATAAGCCCTATCAGATGCTGCATAACAAGCCCCCTGCGCGCTCTACTAGCCCTAAGTCCATCCGAGACATGCCCCCCAAACACTCACCTCAAACCCGAAACCCGAAACCCGAAACCCGAAACCCTAAACCCCATCATCTGCGTGCTTCCCTCTGAGCATTCCACGCAAGCACAGGAAGGACTAAGACCTGGCAGCGAAGGGCTTTAGAGACTCAGGGTCGAACGTCCCAAAGAGGACCCAAGCCCCCCCCTTAAGCGCCTGGGTTTAGGGTTGAAGGTTTGGGGATTAGGGAATACAGCGTTTAGGGCCCGTATACCCTGAACCCCTAAACCCGTGCATCTTGAATCACAGCGTCCCCTCCAAACCTCCCAGAAAAGGGTCCCTCCCAGAATCGAAGTAGTAGGAGGGGGGGGGGGGGTTTGTGGAGCCCTGAACCGTGAACCCTCAACCCCATGCATCCCTGAAGTACAAGGTTCCGGCATTGATTGGCTTGGGAGCGAAGGATTCGGGAAGTTCTGAGGGGTTTCCCATGCCTTGCATGCGGGGGAAACTTGCCTGGGGTGTTAGGGTTTAGGGTATCCTTAAAGGGCTAAAGATGGGATTCTCTAATTCCCTACTGAGAACTAGTAAGAATCAATAGCCGAGGGTTCGCTGATTCTTATGGGTAAGGGTTTGGGGCTTCGGGGCCGTAGGGTTGCGGGGTTCCGGGTTTCGGAGTTTAGGGCTTGCTCCAAGACAGTGCTCCTCGGGAAGAGCAGAACAATCGTTACTTTTGGCCCTGGACCATGCTTGCAAGTGATGCTTGCGATGTGCCGTCGTCGCACTGGCACTATAGGACCATGTTCTCCAGGACGGCGGGTTGTGGATTTGGCAAAAGCCCTATCGCCCTAAACCCCAAGAACCCCAAAGCCCTCATCTCTCGGAACCCCAAACACTTAAGAACCCCCAAACACCAAAGCCCTCAACCCCAAGAACCCCAAAGCCCTGAAGCCCTCCACCCTAAGAACCCCAAGCCCCTAAAACCTGCGGTTTAGGGTTTAGGGTTTAGGGTTTAGGGTTTAGGGTTTAGGGTTTAGGGTTTAGGGTTTAGGCTTTAGGGTTTGGGGTTTAGGGTTTAGGGTTTAGGGTTAAACCCTAACCACTCAACCCCCGAGGCCCGCGCGCAGACTCTGAACGGTTTGCGCACCATTGTCGCCAGGACAATCAAGCATGCCACCATGTGGGGCAAATACCTTGCGACTGCGAACCCTAGGGTTAGAGTTTAGGTTTAGTTTATATACCTACAACTGGCACACCTTTCAGCGCGCCAGCCCGGTTTAGGGTTTAGGGTTGCCTAAACCCTGCCCCGCAACCCTGTCTGGCGTCCGGCGGGTGTTTCAGGGCTTTGGAATATGGGAGGGGGTTCAGTGCGGGCATCAAGGGAAAGCCTAAAGCTCCACCAAGCTGTTTCAAGCCAGATATCAAACTTGAGATGTACAGCAGGCGTTCGTTTTCGTGTATCGGGTTCGGGGGTTAAGGTCTAGGGGTTAATAAGGTCATAATGCACAAGTGTGGGGATGTCAGGGCTACGGATTAGCTCCAGGACAAGGGTTTGAGGTAAAACATTGGGGTCAGGGTGTAGGGTCTAGGGTTCAGGGTTCGCGAAGCTGGGCTGTTCCATTTTGCATCCTCTCCACCCTAACCCGCCGAAACCACCAAATACAAATGACGAATACAGGGGCCCCAGGACATTAAAGAACAGCTTTCTGCTAGAAACCATATAAATGTAGCACGAACTATCCAAAAACACCATTCTCCTTGAACTGGCCCTATGTCCCTGAAACCCGAAACCATACCCAACGCAAAAAGAGCCCTGCAGCCTCCACGAACCCCGGGTCTCAGGAAAGGACGCTGAGACGAACATCACCAGCTCGAACATGGGAAATATCATGGATACCGCCTTGGCAGTGTGGTGCTAGACGGCGAACCTTAAACCCTGCGATCCGAAACCCAAAGCCGTAGACCCTAAACCCTGAAATCCGATCTAGAGAAATCCTGAGCTCAAGAAAGCCCACGGTAGCTTGTCGACACTGTTGCCAAAAACTGCTGTAAACCTAACACCCAACACCCAAAGACCCTGAACCCTAAACCCTTAAATTAAACCACCTAAACCCTAAACCCTGAACCCCAAAGACCCCAAAACCCCTAAACCCTAAACCGGCTCAGGGATTGGGATTTTCACGGGCCTGGGGCCTTGAGGGCTCGAGGGGCCTTTATGGGGTTGTCTGGCAGTATATGGGTCAAAACCTTCAGGATGTAGGGGCTCAATGGTTTAGGGTTTTTAGGGTTTGGGGTTTGGGGTTTGGGGTTTAGGGTTTCGGGGATCATGGTTTAGGGTCTCAGGCAAGGGGTCAGATCCTGTGGGGTTCAGGGACTCAGGGCCCAAAGATAGCAGTCGCATGAACAATGCTCAAGAATTCAGCCGCGATCAGGGTTTGGGGCGGTTTGGGTCTTAAGGTCAGTCCATCGGGGATAAATCACTTAGAAGGGATTCGGAGGTTTCAAATCAATGCAGGGTTTTAGGGTGTAGGGTTAAGGGCTTCGGGGCACCCATGAAAGTTTGCACCCCGTACTGCATGTGGACTCTGTAAGGGAATCTTCCCTTCGTCCAGGCCGGAAAGCACAGATGAGCTTAAACTTGAACTCTGAACTTCTAAACCCTGAACCTCTAAACCTCCAAACCTTTAAACTTCTCAACCCCTAAAACCTCTAGACCCCTAAACCTCCAAACCTCATTAAGAAGCCCTGAGCCCTAAACCGCAAACACTAAAAGCCCTGAACCCTAAACCCCAAACCTTAAACCCCAAACCCTAAACCCCAAACCCTACACCCCAAGCCCTAAACCCCAAACCCAAACCCTAAACTCCAAACCCTGAAAGCCCTAAAGCCTTTGTGAGCAGCCCGGGTGGCACTCGGTGTGGGGAGCTCAGAAACACCACATGGTGGTTCCATGATAAGGAGAGCTGAGGTTTAGGGTTTGGGGTTTGGGGTTTAGGGTTTAGGGTTTAGGGTTTAGGGTTTAGGGCTTAGGGTTTAGGGTTTAGGGTTTAGGGTTTAGGGGTTGCTCTGACGTTGGGAGGGCTTGGGGGGTTGTTCTGGGGGTGAAGCTATTCACCCCCTGCAAAGCATCCTGAACCCTGAGTAAAAAAAGGTTCTTCCCTACGAAGGGCAATATAGGGATCATTGTTTTTACACTTACTTTTGGGATTCTTAAGCAAATAGTAGCTTAGGGTTTTAGGGTTGGAGGGTCCTGAACCTAAAAACACCCAACCTCAAACCCTGGACTGTCTCCCAGGCACCATGATCTCGCAGCCAGCCTCTTTCGGGAGGATGGAGGGCATGGGAGCCCTAAATGTGGTCAGCTCACTCTACGTACGAGGGGGCCGTGTTCTAACAGGGGAACTTTGAACAGGAGCACGAGTTCAGGGAAGTTGCAGCGTTCAGGGACTTTAGGGCATGGGGTGTCTGAAGAGGCCCAGACCACAGGTCTTCTTGCTGGGCACCTTCAGTATACCTATACATGAAAGGAGCCATATTCCTATAAAGTAGAAGACCCATACTTGCTTGAAGGTTCATGCGTGCTTTAGCACCAAGCTACTAGTATTCGTTTAAACGTCTAAAGGTGCTCTCGGTGGTTCTCGGGTTTTGGGGTCTCAGAAAACTCTTGGCGTTGCGGGATGGACAGGTTGGGCTCGGGGTTATATATAGCGTGTAGAGTTTCGGTGTTTAAGTTAAAGTTTTTAGGGTCGGGTTCAGGGTCAGCCGCTTGACCTAAATCCAGGGTTCAGGGTGTAGTCTTGAGTGTTTTGTCTCCAGGGGCTAGGCTTCTCGGGGTTTCAAAAGGCCGCGGACCCTGATCCCCTCACAGTCCCTCTATAATTCCCATAGTGCAGCAGCAGAGGGTTTGGGGTTGCGGGGCCTCAGCTTGCATGAGCATGCTTGGGTTTAGGATACCGGTTGATGAGGGTTTAGGGGGCTGAGCCCGTTAAGGTTTCGGATTTGTTGGGCTGCGGTGAGGCGGTAGAAGGCTTTGCAATGCTCGTATTGCACCTTCTTCTTTCGGGAAACGGGGGGAAGGGTGCGGCTTTGGAGCCTTATTTATGGCTTTCATGACTTGGGCTTCAGGGGGTTCAGGGTGCTCCGCGCCATTCCCGACCCAGAGCGCCTTGACGCTGAAGGCTGCTTGGGATTGGGGGACTCGGTTGGAGGA